GGGTTTCCCTCCTAGTATCCCCCAGAAAGCCCGCTATGGCCCGGGAAGCTTTAAGCCTCCGTCAGCGAGTTGAAGCTTAAAGCATACAGTTGTGTAAATCATTCCAGGGGGAGAAGAGTTGAGAAAACAGTCCTAATCGCGATGAAATGATTGCGTGTGCTAGTACTGCTCTGGCATTGTCCTGTGTTAACTGGAAAACCATGCGAAAGCAAAATCAGTATTCGACAGCTAGAAATATTTAGATAGCTGCTGAATTGAAAAACTACTATGTAGGATAACGTTGAAATCCGCCAGCTATCTGGGACTAACCTGCTTAGAACATTCCTTCGTCAGACTGCCAGTGTTTAAAGAGTTTCCGATGCGCTATAATCAACAGCCGAGGAATGTAGAACTTAGAAACCAGCGCTACATTTGCCTCCATGACTGGCTGGATTTCCCCCGGTTATCCAGCGGTTCTGACAAGTTGTTGACTAGCATCATATGCCACTATTCCGCCCCTCCCTCCGCGTGACCCACTTTGCAACTTTCCACAGTTAACACACTAACGCCTGATACAAAATTCTCTATAGGTCTTCCCTCGCAAAGAATATCTGACCGCCCGTATCGAGCACGATAACGTAGTAGAATCAAATCCAAAAATATGGTTTGCCATTACAGAAAAAACAACTATCCTAGCCATCGCTTTGAAGGAGTCTCGCACCACTATGGAAAATAGCCGTCCTTAAGCTGAGAACAACTTTATGTCTACTAAAGAAAATACTCGACAGTTTTAAATTACGGTCGATTAAATCACTAAAATGAGCTGCGGAAAAATCTTCAACTAATACCCGCGAAAGAAGTTACGAGGTGGGGTGGGAACGAGGAAGCACACTCATAAGTCTAATTTTCACCACCCTGTCGCTAATAGGAGCAATGCAGTCCCAATATGTTTCGCAAAGCTAAAGGTTTCCGAGATTGCCTCTTTTACAGTAACCAATAATATTATATTGTTCATATTCTCACCCCCATCCGGAACCCTATGCAAAGAACTGTTTACCACAATCTGTTTTATAACAGTTTCGAGATGAAAAATATCTAATGTTACAAGCCTGTGACAAATCTACTCTAAAGAGGCCAAATAGTATCATCAGAGCCAATTGCGTAAACCAATGAAGACCCGGGTACTTTGTCATAGTGGCACTTCCCCAGAATATTTTATTTTTCAAGTAAGAGCTTGTGACTTTTATATTGACTCCAATATTAGGGAATGTGAAGTGCATGGTTGTAAAAAACCTTCCAACCCGTAATATAACCCTAATGAATACATGCTCACAAGTGTAGAGGAAAAAACTTCACTAAGTTCAGCAATTAAGGAACTTTACTCCACAAAGATAATAGATGGTTTGGCGTTTCCGGGTAAGTTCCCAAACATTACCATCTGCCTACCCGTGAAGTCAAGCGTCAAAGTTTGTGGCGAAGTCGCAGGACGTTTAAAATTAGCCCACTTTAAAATTCGATAATTACTTAAAAATTGGTGTCAAGGCCAGTTCAGAAGACTGGCATAATGGAGTCTCGAAATGCCGAATATTGCGATTTATGTTCTGCAAGTTGTTCAAATACTGTCTAGTTTACGCAGATTTCCCGCTCCGTCTTAACCCATTAATACACTTTGTAAAGGGTTTATCAAGTATTCGGAGGACTTGGCCCACATTAACAAAATGTCTAGGAGTAATTTTGAAGTGGAGTAATATGGGTTTGCGTCGCCAGACAATCATTTATTAGCCCACGTGCCCATTTTCCAGTTACCTTGTCTATTTCATTCAATTTAGACTGAAATAGTTCAAGCCGCCTCGCAATAAAACAAGACTTTACCATTTTTTAAGACAACGACATCTCGGACTTCGGTGACCAGTAGGAAATAAGTGTCTGTGAAGTCCGACCTACACACACAAGAACCAACGCTATTCTGCCGACTCCGCAGGCTCGCCTGTCACGCAAAGCAGTCCCTTTACCACGCGAAGGCCGGACGGGTGACGGAGATGCTTGTAGCTAAGGAGAGGCCAAGGCGCGAACGGCCGGGTACGGCCAACGATGGCAAGGACGGCGCTCGTCTCGCGAGTTCATGACGTCCGGGCGAAGTACGGATGAACACTGTGCGATAGCCGGACAGCCACTGACGCTCGGTGAGTTCACCGCGCGCGTGCGCACGTCATGCGCCGGGTGCATTCGAAGCTCCTCACATTGCTCTCGCTGAACACTTTATGATTGCGTGTTTCCCCGCGCTGGCGGACGGTGGACACGCCGTCTTACCGGATCGGGCTTGTCCGGAGGATTTCCGCGCAGAACCAGGTTAGCTCCCTCCGGGGAGGGGCACTTGCCCTAGGAAACCCTTGTGGCAAGGTCTCAAGCCTCCACCGAAATGGTCTCCTATCATGCCGTTCGGGGAGTTAAGTCGTTTAAGTTTTTTTTCTGCCTATTTTGTATACTATGTTTATGTACGCCGTTCCGCCTTGCTGCCATTACGGCATTCCTTAAACCACGCTAGCTTCGGCAGGAAAATCTGCCTAATGAAGATCTCTACAAACCTATTCGTCTTTACATTTCACATTATTAACACAATAACGGCAATCAATTAATGATAAGTAAATACCTAAAAAAATGCAATTTGAATTTGAATGTATCGTAACCCTTTTAAAAACTGCTACTATTCTTCCGTACTCTAAATTACATTTCCCTTCCAAACGATTCCTAATATTCTAATGTATCAGTTCCTCTCGTAACTAAATAAACTAACTATAATTATAACAAGGTTCTCCATTTCCGTAAACTACTACGTCGACTGTTAGAAGACTACCCTGCATTATAAACATACAGTCTCGCGAACCACACAGACTTTGACGAGTACAAATTCAAAATACACGTGTATAAAAAACTAGGAACCGTTTTTCAAAGCAAATATGCCGAAACGTTTAAACTTTATCTTGATGTATGACTTAGAGAAGAGCATTCAAAACGATAAATACTAAGTCTCTAGATGACATAGGATAAAAACTTATTTTCAACACTTACATGATCTTTAGATAGTTTTAGAGATTCTTAAACCCAGGGAATCCTACATGGGATTCTGTGAGGACCGACCTGCGGTGTTGGGCGTAGATAAACGTGCGGCAGCAATACTTACTAGCCTGGGCCGCTCCTCCGCATCGACAAAGCGCGCGCGGCAGGGAGCCAGCAGGCGGAAGCCCGCGCGGCCACCAGCCAGCTCTCGTACCGTGTCGTTGGGGCGCGGCATGTTGGCCGCCCACTCCCAGACACAGCCTCCACGCGGCCCCAGCGAGGCCACCGGACACCCATCCACCACCACACGCTCAAGCCTCTCAGCTCCCTGCAACGCCTCTGTTTCGAAACTTCGCATTTACGAACCGGAGTCCGAAGCTTCTCATTTAATTGCTGTTCCGGTGACGCCGCTCCATCCATAGTGCCGCCGAAGTTCGTCGCCATCGCTACCTTCATCCAGGCGTTGCCCTGAGCGTTCCCTAGAAGGACGCAAAAATGGCCGACCCGAAACTTACGTCCTCCCATGACGCGGACAGCAATTATATGCTGACTCCGCCGTGGAAGACAACGCTACTCTTCGACAGATTTGGGAACCCCCCATTCAAACAGATGCCAACCTGTCCGCTGTCTTTG